TTTAATGTAGAAGCCATGCTGTGCTTTTGCTGTGCATGTCCCAGCCAGGAAATACCTTAACCTCCTTTCAAGAAGCTGCCCTACCCCTCTTTGCTCATGATGACAGCCGAGAAGAAGATCCAGAGTGTCGGAAGAGGATCCCAGATGACTTGCAGCTACCACATAGATGTATTAACATCTCCTCCCAAGACTCCTGTGGTTCCTCAGAGCCCCTGACTCCAGATGTGACAGCTCCCCTGGCCGCCGTGGAGCATGAAATATGACCTCTCAAAATCCATCGCTGTCACGGAGAAGCTTATGAGCTCCATCACAGAGGCGGCTGTTCCCACTCTGCTCAGAGAGAGTGTGGCTGTTCTGTGACTTATGCCTGAAAGTATGTGAGCCTTTCAGACCCAGATCTGGTGTGAAAAAGAGAAACTAAACTTAAAAATTGCATGAATAACTCAGATATTAACATGCCTGAAGGGGATACCCCGACCTGGCTCCTGCAGCCCAACACAGGACACACACAGGAACACATACACATGGCTAAACACACCATGAGTGACTCTGAGGTGTCATTTGGCCAGAATGCATGTCTTTGTACTGCTGAAGGGAATCACAGTATCCAGAGGAGACCCATGGCACATGGGGGGAATAGGCACCCCCCCCCCCGCTACACCACACACAGAGAGCGGGTGGGATTTCTGGCCCCCAACCTTGGGAGCCTCAATCATTCTGCCACTCGGGAGAAATAACTAAAGAGATTTCGAAAATTTAAAAAAGACTCTTCATATTGTTTCCATGTAGGTGGATACATTAATCTTTATTTCAGGTGAATATTCACAGTATTGAGGAAGGCTATTCACTGTATCTCAATAGAAGCACTTTCTCCAAGGAGAGGAGTTGTCAGCTGCTTTAGCAGCTTAAGACTGTAAAAATGAACCAGTTTGATTATTAAGCATTATTATTATTATTAATACAAAGCATGAAACCAGGACTGTCAATTATTTAAGCATAGAATCATGATTTTTAAATCCATGTAACAATTAAAATTGGTTGTAGTTTCTAGAGGGTCTGGCTTCTATTCTTCTATATGGCTGTACTCTTATAGTACCAGTTTTTAACAGCATAAAGAGAGTAGCCGCAGTGGGCAGTTAGAATGATATTTTTCGCTTTTTAGGCTTGTTTGCATGCATTAAGATGGTTATTTCGGTACGTGAGATTTCCCCCCATGTGCACTGTGGCAAAAGCTTAACTAGAGTGTCATGTGCTGTGTTTCCTGGGATAGGATTTAGACACCCCCACACACCCCTGCCCAGGATACGCGGTGGGAAGGTGGATGATGGTATTTCCCCTGCATTCAGGGTATGAGATCACTACTTTGATCTTCTTCAATCGAAAAACAATAAATTATCAATAAAAATAACAATACATAAATTCTAAATAAAAATTGCACCCCACGATTTTGCTAGCAAGGTATCACCAGCAGTCTGTTCTTCAGCAGTAATTGGTTTATGAAACATACCTATTAATAATAATGTTTCTTAAAGCGTAGTAGCCTTCAAAAATGACAGTACATAATAAAAAAGGCAAGCTCAGAAAATTCAAAGATGAAAATTATGCCACATGCAAGTAATACTGCCCAAGAATGTGAGAAAGTGTTTAAATGCCCTGTGAAACAGGAAAAAATTGAGTCAACATTTCTCCTCATGTATCAAGAGCACCATTTGTGACAAATGTCATCTCAACATACTTGGCAGTCTTGGCGTTAGGGTCTGGTGTACAGAGCACTGTAATCAGAAATTCTGCAACTTCACAACAGGGTGAAGAGCTTCAGTTGCTGTGTGGCTAAGTATTATAGTGGCTAAGATACATGATCTAAGTGATTTTAAACGTGGTGTGATTGTTAGTGCCAGACGTGGTGGTTCCAACATCTCAGAAACAGCCTCCCTTCTTACAATTTCACACACTACAGTCTCTGGAGTTTACAGAGAATGGTGTGATGAACAGAAAACATCCACTCGGTAGCAGTTCTGTGGGTGAAAATACCTTGTTAATGAGGAAGGTCAGAGGAGAATGGCCGGCCTCATTAAAGCTAACAGGAAGGCCACAAGTGCAAAAATAACAGCTCAGTGCAACAGTGGCTTTATCTCCAAACATACAGCTCGACTACCCTTGAAGGATTTCTAGAGGCAAAGGTGGGCTAATAAACTGACCTCTGAGTGTATATATGTGGGCCTTTATAAGGAGCATGATGTAGAAGCAGCTTAAAAAGAATATGAACCCTAAGGGATCTGCTGTTTTGAGTAGAAGTTGCTTCATGTCTCACTGAGCAGACCATTCCTTCAGACAAAACCAACTGCAAGCCAAACTTTACTTCAAATCAAATCCAGATCCAACCGTTTCATCCCTTTGGCCCAAATTGTTCTCACAGAACAAACAACACCTGTGGGCCTAAAAATTGGGACCAAACGACTTGCAATAAGAAACGGCAGGTCTGACTGCTGCTGCAAACAAGTTTCTTCTCTGAAATTTCAAGCTTGTGCACCACATCTGTTTTCTTCTCATTTTTGTTTCCTTTCTTTTTTTATTTGTGTGGAAAACTAAATGGTAAATTAAATGCCACTGGAATTATCTGTTTTTTTTAATCAAATGAAATGAAAGACCTTGAAAGCCTGGAGATGCAATGATATTGCCTGTTGGTGTTTGATGAACATTCCCACATTCACTGTAAATACTGCCACACACACACACGGATATAATTATATGCATGCATAGTTACACGTATAACATATTTCCATGTTAGACGAGCTCCTTTTAACACTCCTAACCTACCCAAAAAACTACTTGGCCCATTGTTCCCATCTTACATGGTACGTAAACATTCTCCCATTTTCAAAGCCAGAATTTAAACAGAGTGCCTGCGGCTTAAAAGCTGCACCACAGGCACTGGCCCTGAGCTGTTTATGCACCCCCCCCTAAGCTGTTTATGCACCCCCCTGAGTTGTTTCCATCTCGCTGACTCCCAGGGGCTCTCTTACCTCTAAACCTGAAAGTCATCCGCAGTGGCCGGCTTGATGCACGCATACAGCTGCACCAGCTCTCATGCATCGATGCGCTTTCAGGCCATGTGCTCCTTTGCAAGTGGACACCCGCAGAGCCCCTGCTGCTCTGACAGGGGGTGGGAGAAGTTTGGGCCTGGGGCAGATCACAGACTCCTCGGGATGAAGCAGGAACAGCCCTGCCATCTCGTCTCCTCCCCCCAACCCCCCCAACTTATATGCCTCTTGAGGCATCACAATTTTGCAACAGTACCTGCAGTGTTGACTCTTCTCCAGACAGTAAGTGCTCCCATGAAGACAAACAGATAGTTGATGGATTGTTCAGCTATGTGGAGACTGTAGCTAGCAGAGACCATGACGACCCGAGATCAGCTCCAGTCAAGGCAAGCAATTATCTTGGTACACTAAGGGCCTCATTCCCATCAGCCAGATTGAGCTCAGATTCCTCTGGTCCTTGTTATTCCCATGTCAGGCTGAAAGATACTTTGTGCTGCCTTGTACATACAACATATATACCTACACCTCACTAAATTTCCTCCGCCTCTTCCTGTTCTACTTATCCATTTGAGAATTTATTTTCAAAGACTGAAACTTCAGACACAGATCATGGAGATACATACAGGGAATACAGAATGAGTAGGCAGCAACAGTGCGAGGCAAACAGAACCGGATGAGGGGCCGTAAGATGATAGGCACATATGGATGGAACTCATGTAGATGGAGCTTGTCTTACTCTGTTGCCATGCCAACAACCAACATATTTATGATGGAGGCAAATTCCATCCACCTGCTGTGGTTGCCACACAATGTATATCCAAACATCCAGGACCTGATATGAGATCTTGTAGGGAGCAACTTTAGGAACCACTTGAGTTTACATCATATGCTGTTCCCTCTTTACACAACTGATAGATGAGATACATACTTCAGTCCTGCTATGAAATGACTCCTCCGAGATTCTCTGTCCTTCTACTAAATAACCTCACAGACCCTTGAAGCATCACATAAAAGTCTTGCTACACAAATGGAGATAACAAATCAATAAAACTGGTACGAAATTGAATAAACTTGCTTGCTAATCATTTCAGTTCCGTGTTGGTATATTGAAAACAACTTCTTGTTTTTAAAAATATTGGGCGTTATATAGCTTTTAAAATAAAAACGGATATTTTGAAAGTTTCCAGTATGAATTTCTCATTCCGCAAACAAAGATTTGTGACTGTATAATGATATTATAAGAAACTGGAGATCGGGGTGTAATAATTATGTTATTCTTTCTTTTTAGTGTGCGCGTGGTAAAACAGAAGAGACATTTGCTCTTCGACAAATATTATCAATGAGTCCCAAACCCAAAAACTTTGAGATCAAAATCAAATTTATAGTCTCTGAATGGTTTAATGTAGGCTATATGAAAGTATAAAATACAACCTAATAATGTTTTATAAACGACTATAATTGAACTACACACCTAATATTCTCGATAAATCGTTTATTTTATTGATTAATCGGTTTATTTCCTGAGACTGATTAGTTTATCGAGACTGAAATAGAGATGGAAATCACCAGTGCATATTTCTAATTAACTTGATTGACCTTAATATTTCTGATTATTTCCTCGTAAATGCTGAGTGATTATCAGGGATAATTGCTGCTTTTTGCTGCCTTCGCCCGACATAGAGCGTACAGAAATTAGGGGACCGCATCCGATATGAAACCCCAAATTCCCTGCAGACTTTGGCATATGTAAAACGCCCTTCCTCCTAAATTTCAGCTCAGAATAATTACCTGCTGATGTATATAGGTGTAATGCAAAATAATAATAACAATAATATCAATAATAATAATAATAATAATTGAAATGAAAATTTTAATTTAATCTTTAAGTGAAATTAACGAACTGACAGTAATATTATCAAGATTCCTGTTGAACTGAAATAACTGGACCATAACACACGGTTGTTCAGTAACTGCGTGGTTTATTGTGATGCTAGGAAGCAGGTACCATGTTAAGTATAATTCGGAAACCACAAAGTCCCAAATTTTGTACAATCGGAATGTAGCACACCGTGTGATAATCTTTGCATGGAAATACAACGATGCGTTGCAAATGTAGAACACGAGATACACAAAACAGCGTGATACATGTTCCTTTTCACTTTTTTGCCCGTCCGCACAGCCAATAAGTCTTTTGTTTTAGACTTGTTCAGTTTCAGAAGTCAGATCAAATTCCACATACACAGTCCTTTGCGGCTTACATTACTATACGCAAACGTCTGGTCCTTTACACTCAGAAAAGAAGGGACGCACGTGGGAGGAGGCATACAGTCATACTGTAGGTTTTAAAGTCAATAGCTTTTACCTCACGAAAATACCGAGAAGAGAAAGTTTATGGTCTGTAAAACTTGCATTTAATAATTTTCTTGAAAGCACTTTGGAAGTCTTTGTTAAAGTAGGCGTATATAATTGGATTCAAAAGAGAGTTTGAGTAGCCGAGCCAGTTGATTACTGCCCCAAGCCACTCTGGCATGCAGCAATTGTCACGACAGAAAGGCAAAACCAAAGCGACGATGAAGAACGGCAACCAACACAGAATGAAAGTGCCCATAATGATCCCAAGCGTCTTGACAGTTTTGCGCTCTCTCGCCAAAGCCATTTTTCTCTTAGCCTCTGTGTTCTTTTCGTTTCTGTTTTCGAAACACGGAGCACACTGCGGAGTGTTTGGCAAAGGAAGATGTTGTTTGGAGTTGTTCTGAACCTCTATAATCTCCAGAGACTCCCCGTCTTCCCCGTGTTTAACTGCGCCATTTACGCACGAGTTTGGCTTTGGCTCCACGCTGCGCTTCCAGTTCTTGCTCGTCTCCCCGTTGCTCTTCTTATGAAAGATGGCTGGAGACACTGCCAAGCATCTGTCCGACACTTTCTTTTTCTCCGGCTTGCGGACTGTTTTTCGGATTCGGAACCTAGCAGCTTTGAATATCTTCCCATAGAGAACCAGCATTAGAAGCAGCGGAATATAAAAAGCGCCGAAAGTCGAGTAGATCGTGTACCCAGGATCCTGGCTGATGGTGCAAGCGTCGGGGTTAGCCCTGTCCTCGGGCTTTCTCCAGCCTAACATCGGCGGAATAGATATCGAGAAGCCTATTATCCAAGTGAGACTGATTAAGATCGCTGCGCGCCTGGGAGTCCTCTTGTTCACATAGTCTATGGGGTCGGTAATCGCCCAGTATCTGTCTAGCGCGATTGCGCACAAGTGCAGTATGGAAGATGTGCAACACAACACGTCTAAAGAAATGAAAATGTCACAAGTTACCTGTCCAAGGGTCCACTTGTTTAAGACCTGATAAAGGGCTGCCATGGGTAACACTAGTACAGAAACCATGAGGTCCGTGACGGCTAAAGATCCGATCAAATAGTTTGCCACATTCTGAAGGGATCTCTCAAGGGCGATTGCTGCGACCACGCAGGTATTCCCAAATATGGCACAGAGAATTAACGCTGCTAGGAGCAAGGACGTAAAAATCTGGTAACTTAGTGCCACTTCGGCTAAGCCCGTCACGTTTCCATTCCTGTCGGGAAGATCTAACCGTGTGGTGTTGTTTGTATTTTCCATTTCGAGAGAACATAGAAGATGCCGGGGAGTTCAGTCCCTCGCACCAATGCCGGTGTCCAGCGCTACTCCATCCTGAACAGGAAGCATAGCGATGTGTGGCCTCAGCAGTGTGTTACTGCTCCCGTGGATCATTGGAGTCTGGTGACGAAGTGAATTAATTTATACCAGCGGTGGAAGGTACGTCAGATGGCTGATGGGTCGCGGCACAGTAGTGCTGTTTATTTCTCCTATCTAGCTTCTGATTTCTATGAACGAACCTTACTAAGCTGCACGTTTGTTTCATTCAAAAACCTTTCCCCGCATCTTTTTCGTCTAGCTTGATGAATATAGTTTTCTTTAAAAAAAAAAAAAAAAACTACTACTACTTTATTCCTTTATTCGCGAGTGAATGGTTTATATTCTAATTTTCCTGAAGGCTCAGATATGACTTTTTAATAACTAAGTCTTCCTAATATAACGTTTTTATTCCAAACTGGCATACTGTAGGCGTTTTCCGTTGCGAATTTCGGATTTTTTTCGCTAAATTTACCACACGCGTCTGCATGGAAGGAATAAACGACGTATATATGTAGGCTGTCGACATAATTGTTGTGACTCATTGGCGCTCCAAAGAAAGTAGAAAAAAAGAAAGTTACTGTATCAACCTCTGGAAATGCATGGAATTAATCGGAATATACTCCGATTAATGTGAATAGTTGAAGAATCAAAATTGTTTACTTCATGTACAATGTTGCGTATAACCTTTTTTTGCATATTATTATTATTATTATTATTATTATTATTATTATTATTATTATTGTATCTGGCACACAAATGGACGTGCCAGGAGAGAGCACTGGTTGGTGTCCGGCTGCCGCCGTCGGATGAGCTTCAGGACCTCGGACAGCTCCGTGCGCTGAAGGCGTCTGCTGCCATCTGGCGTGAGTCAGGGACTGTAGACATTATACAAGCGGACTAAAGTAAACGGCGTCAGTCTACAGATCGATACTGATCGCATTCTTCGACTGTTTGGCAAATATAAGCGCTTTATATTCGGCTCAATTTCACTTAGGCTACCTAGAAAAAATCGAAGTTATTGGTAGTCTATACCTTTAAGCAGCAAAAGGGCGAGATTAATCTGAAACTGAATGGCACATATAATCAAAACAGCAATGATAATAAACCACGTAATTTAATTAGTGACTGATCGAACGGACAACAGACGGCCGTTTTGCGTATCGCTAATCCGTCCGACGTGTGAGGCGTGATAAGACTTCGCTTACCGTCTCTTACCCTTTTTAAATAGCGTCGAAAACTTCCAACTGGACACAGACCAATTTCAGACTGGATTTATTATGCATACAATGAACCAGTTAAAACATGTATACTTAAAACATTGACCTTTATTTGGTGCATGTGATAAAATCGACATATGAAACAGAATGAATTTGATTATTAGAATAAGATGAGTCGTAGGACGAAGGAACTATAGTACGATTGCAATAATACTCGGATGACCTATTGTCTAGCTTTTGGAAAACGGCACTTTTAAAAAGAAATATGCAATAATAACTCTTGATATGTGTTAGAGGTATGACTCCTTCACTCTACCCCAGATGTAATTACACAGCAAACTGACGCTGTGGAGATAATATGGTAGGAAAAACAAAATGAATCTAAATTTGCACAGACGTCCAAACAATAGCTTGGCAATCGTGATTTACTGTACACAAAATGATTATTTCAGTGGAAATATAGAGTTTTCTATTTCATGTTTGCTGATATTTGATTATTCTGCATCCTAAACTCTTACCTTATTCTCAAAATTAAGACAATAAGTTAACAGGCCTAGTAACCTGTTGTGACTTTAAAGTAGCACTGGCCCAAAGCTTATAAGCAAAGCAAGGTGACCTCCCCATCTGATCAGCCTGTGGCAATTTGTGTGTGTGTGCGCGTGCGTGTGTGTTTGTGTGTGTGTGTACTTATTACATTATGGGGACCAGATTTTCCTGGGTCTATGTATATATTACATTGTAGCAACCGAATATCCCCACAATGTCATATAAAAGTTATTTTGACAATAATATTCAGATGACCTTATGTACATGTTACATTATGGGGACAATGTGATAACAACCTGTTATTTTGATGTGGTGGGGACCAGGTTTTCAGTCCCCACGAGGGGAAATTCAATTTTATAAAAATCTGTGACTGCAATCAAAAAATGAAAAATGCCAAAAGTCTTGCATTTTGCTTGTGTCAGGGTCAGCACCCGTCTATCGAAGTCTTTCATGTTCTCCTCCCCGTTTGGCCAGCAGATGTCGCTGGCCATCCTGTCCTCCCCGGGTCAGTCTTTAGTGTGTTTCCCTGTGGTCCCTCAATGGCCGCACGGCTCGATCAGCTGAGTGTGTGGCCACTTGTACACCCCTCAGTCTTGTGTTTAAATCCCACCTCCTCTGTTTTGTATTTTTGTAGATTTTGTTCCCTTGTGTTTCATTTGTATCAGTTTTCTAGTTCCTGTGTTTTGTGATTTGTATTCGGTTTTGGTTTCTTTCTTTGTGCCTTGCTTGTGTTACTTGTCTTTGTTATTTCCTAGTGTCAGATTCTGCTTCTTAGTTTGAGTTCCTTGAGTTCATTATTAGTTTCACCTGTTGCCTGTTTTCTTGTGCCAGTCCTTGTGTATTCTACCCTGATTGCTCATTGTCCTAGACCCTCCCCGATTGGTTAATTTTCACCTGTCCTGTATTATCCTTGTTAAGCTTTTGAATTTAGGTTCCTGATCCTGTTTAGTTCCTGCTGGAGTCATTGATGTTCATTGATGTATGCCAGTGTTGTTTATTGTTTTGTTATTTGTAGCCCACCTACCCCTTGTTGCCCTGACTCTTTTGTTATTAGTCTTTGTTTATTCCTTTTATTTTTGATCCTTTGTGATCAATTTTGTTTAATAAACCCCCGTATCCCTGTGAGCCGCCAGTGAGTCGTCTGCCCCATGCTTCACCTGCCTGCCCCATGCTTCACCTGCCTGCCCCATGCTTCACCTGCCTGCCCCATGCTTTGCCTGCCTGCCCCATGCTTCACCTGCCTGCCAGAACCTCCCAGTCCCATGACAGTTTGGTTATTTATGGTTAAGGTTAGGGCTGGGTAAGGTTATCATTCTTGGGATTAGGGTGTTGCCCTTAGAAATGAATGGACGGTCCCCACAAAGATACGAGTACAAACGTGTGTGTGTCTGTGTTAGGACAAGAGGCCACAGGTCAAATTTTGCTTAGGACCCTTTGGGCTTCAAGTGACCTCTTTTTTTTAAGATGATGATGATGATGATGATGATGATGATGATGATGATGATGATGATGATGATGATTTGTTTTACGTCTTATTTGCTGATTTGTTTTTCTCTGTCTGCTTTGAAGTTCAGAATTCATGGGTTTAACTTGCTATGAATTTAACAATCTGTGGAAAAACAACTTCATGATTTATTACAGAACAAGCAGTGTTCTTCAGTTTAACGGAGAATACATTTTGATATTCAACACAGAAGACAACATTGCCAGTACAATTTCTTAAGATGAAAATAAATATTTTAAATCTGGTTTATTTTTGACTGTAATTATGGCTAAAAATAGACGACTTCATTTAAAAAATTTATTATCACATTTTCAATAAATTTTATTTCTTAATTTCTTAAACTTTATTTCTTAAGTAAATGCATCTAATTAAAATTAAGATCTGGTTATTTTATAAAGTAATCTTTACATTCATACAAAAATTATAATCAATGTATGTAGCAGTCTGTTTTCTCACTTAATTCTTCTTGCTTTTTTAAAAAAATGTTTTTTTTCATGCAAGTATTGCAGATGTTTAATTTTTAACTCTTCTAGTTGTCTCGGATGTGGCTGTGGTCTCATGACCAGGTAAAGTGCCAGAGCTCATGGCCTCTACCCAAGCACTTATACAAGTTTAGAGTGTGAGCTGGGTCTCACTATAATCCTTGTCTAACAGGTATGTCTCTCACTGGATGTGCAGAGTCTCTGTCTAACAGCTGTGCCTGTCACTGGATGTGCAAGGTCTCTGTCTGACAGGTGAGTCTATCATTGCATGTGCAGGGCCTCTAACAGGTGAGTCTATCATTACATGTGCAAGGTCTCTGTCTGACAGGTGAGTCTGTCATTGCATGTGCAGGGCCTCTGTCTAACAGCTGTACTTGTCACTGGATGTGCAAGGTCTCTGTCTGACAGTTCAGTCTATCATTGCATGTGCAGGGCCTCTAACAGGTGAGTCTATCATTACATGTGCAGGGCCTCTGTCTAACAGGTGTGCTCCTTAATATGTCTGTAGGGCAAATTCTGTTGCTTTGTTTGAAGAGAGCACTTAAAAACACATTTTCTTTATTGAGGCTTTTCCCTGACTTTCCATAACTTCAAAACTGGGAAATTAGGATGGACTTAATCTTTAATAGCAGATTCTCCAAATGGTATGTAATATTTTTCTAACTACAAGCCCTTAACATTTCAGTGAGGAAAAAAGGAATATATTTAGTCACCAAGTTGATAGCAGAGTGGCCTTTCCTCCCAAAATTATGTAAGCAAGAGCATTTGATATGCAAATGACGACAACAGGTTTTAATGATGTTCCATCTTAAGTGTCCTAGAGAATTACAGATAATTACGCTCTCCGGTCCGTGTCTGCAGTGACTAATGGTAAAGAGCCCTGCTTCCTGACTCTGAAGGGGCACTTCTTGAAGCAGCACTGTGGCGTGGTGGTTGTAAATTACCTTTAGGGTTCTTTCAAAGCATCTACCTACGTAATAAGTTTTACTCTGATTTCATCAAAAGGCACCAGTGACTTTTATTACAAAGCACTATGTGTAGGAAAAGTGTTCTGTTGGATGTATAAGTACCAAATGGACCTGCTAACTCTGACAATACGGTGGCCTCGCACCTCCAGGGTGGGCGTTCAAATCACGCTTCTGGTTCTTTGTGCTGAGGACATTTTCTCCCTTTGTTTCCTCCATGTTGTTCAGTCTTCTCCCATAGTCCAAAC